GGAGGTCGGCGGCGGGGATTCTGGCTTGCATCTGTTTGAGCCAGAGCAAGGACGTTCTATTGAAGAAGGAAGCAGCCATCGCTGACCTAATCCCCCAGCCAGCAATGCTATGCCCTCTGGAGAGCATCTGTTCCACTCTCTTGTCTTCTGGCCCCAATCCCGTCACGTCACGGCTTATAGGCTCATCAACGGTTGGCATTTCTAATGCCGCTACGAAGTCCGAGGTCACATTGTAGAGCTGTTTGTCATATCCGCAAGGGGATTTACTCGTTCCTGGTTGGATCCATTGTCGCTGGACGACATCCAGGAAAAACTTCGGGCAGGGGATCTCCTCCTTCTCTGTGTTGGGTTGTGAGAACAACAAATTATTGGGGTTAGAGGAGGCCGGATCTAAATCAGCTGGATCTCCTCCTATCCCAGCGGCGGCCTTGGCTTTCTGGAGAAGCGTCTTAAACAAGGCAGGGGTGAAGAGACCTACGAAGCCATTGCCATATCGAGTCTCTCCTTTGTCCTCAGACTGTGGCAAGTCTTGGCCGAGGGATTCTGGGATGTTCATGGAAGGAGGAGGAGGAGCCTGTCCCTGGGGTAAGGCGTTGTCGGAGGCTGCAGAGGAAGCCGGGAGTTGTTGTTGGATCCCTGCGGCAATGCCCTGAGCGATGGCCTCTGAGATCATCCGTCTCATCTGCGGGGTCATTTCCGGCTTCTGGGCCTTCTTTCCGGCCGCTGCAGGAGGGACGGCAGCCTCCGGGGTGGAAGGCTTTGCCCTCTTAGCAGCCGGCTCCTCCGAAGGACTTTCCGGCGGGAGCAGAGTCGAAGCAGGAGGAAGGGACGAAGGCTGAGCGAGCTCCATCACCGGCAGCTGCGGCTGAGAAGCTTCCTCTCTGGCGCCATCTGGTGGACGAGACGGGATAGGCGTCTCACCTGCCTCCGTTACAGGTTGCAACGGCTGGGAAGCGCTGCAAGCGGCAACTCCGTCCACAAGGGGGCGCTCCTGCTCCTTTTCCCCTGCAGCGTCTACTGTGTCTAAAGCCTTGGGGGGAATTTGGGCGGCCTTCTTGGCGAGAGGCGCCTTGGCCCGGGTCCTGGGCGAGGCTCTGGTTGGGGCCGGCTCGGGCTTGGAGG